AGGCAGGTACAAAAGTAGAAAACTTACACAGGAGGACAATTAAAAATGCATAATTACACAGTACAATTGAAAATGCGTACTTAAACAGGTAAACAAGTAGACTGTTAGACAGGTAAATCATATACAAATCCAATATTCATGGATTAAATCGGTATTTACACATATCGGATAGTTTCATGCCACTTGCCTTGAGGCAAAATTCCATTACACCTACCAATTTAATTAGGCAAATGCCACTTTAAAAAATAGTACAATATTAGATTTTTAGAGAGCAACTTGTTCTATAAAATTGCTTACTTATGTGCGATTCATTCTTGTATTACAAAGTTTTGATTTCCTTGCATTAAAAGTGGTCCTTGTTACTCCGTCTGCAAGTATTAGAAAGTATTATAAATCTCCACCTTTTATTCGAAAAAAACTTCTAATTAAATTCAAAGTATATGGTCGGTGATTCTATATAGAATAGAAACCCCCCTGGTATTTAAATGATTTGGACATTTTATAGGTCTTTTCGAAAAAAAACCCTTTATATCAAGTTTCCCTAGCGCATCATTTACCGAGATATCATTGAAAATATGCGAAAGGAAATCTTTTATATTTATCAACAAACAATAACGATTCCATTCAGATCTTGTATGCTATATTAATAACTAAAAATGTTTATTAAAATAAATAAAACTAGTGGGGTGGGTGGCATCGTGCCTTAAGGCAAATTGCTGGAAATTCTCGTACCGTAACGATTATTATAAATATTGTAATTGTAACATTGACTAATATTTATAAGAATTATATAAACTAAATTGCAAAGTTGAAATTATTTGTAAAGTATATTGGACTATAGTCAGAATTAAAAATAAAATCTGAATTATTTTCGATATACAAAAAATTAAAAAAAAAAAAAAAAATTGAAACATTTTTTTTTTCAAAATCAATTATTTTGTTAAGACAAGCAGAAAGTTCTTTGAATCATTTGAATTGGACGCTTAATTCTCTCAAAAACTGCTATTTTTTATATATTTAGCTCCGTATCTTCGAAATGGCTGGGCCTGTCTTTGCCAAAAACTAATAACACTTCTCCCAATCACTACTAATTGAATGCTTTTTCGATCATTCTAATCGGATACTCCGTTCTTTCAAAAACTCGATTTCTATTTTCTGCACTTTTTGCTCCGTATCTCCGTAACTGCTGGACCTGCCTTTGCCAAAAACTATCAGCTCTTCTCCCTATCAATAGGAATCGAATGTTTTTTGTACCATTCAAATCGGTTGATCCGTACGCCCGAAAACGTGGGCGAAAAATTGTATCCATACATAGATACACACACACACATCCATTTTTTCTGAAGTATGCTAAAATGTTCAGAAACCTTCAAAACGTCGAGAAATGTAAAAATTTTTCAATTCCGATTTTCGGCCCATTACAATAACTCACCCTACCGAAAGTTAACTAGTGGGGTGCATGGCATCGTGCCTTAAGGCAAATTGCTGGAACTTCCCGTACCGTAATTGAAAATCTTGGTACCCAACCCAAAGAAATTTACACAATGTGTACACATTATTAAAATCTCTATAGAATATCTGATAATCTGATGTACATTTTTTTGATATTTTTGACCGCCAAAATGACACGGATCCAAATGAACACGGATCAACCGATTTGAATAATTTAAAAAACATTATATTCGTATTAAAAGGAGGCGTGCTGATTACTTTTTGGCATAGGTAGGTCTAGCCGTTTCGAAGAAACGGGGCAAAAAGTGCCTAAAACGGTAACTCAGTTGTTAAGAGAACGGAGGGTCCGATTTTATTTCATTCAGAAAAATTTTACTTGTATTGACAAGACGAAAAACTGATTAAATTTTTGGGGAAGGCAGATCTATTTTTCGGAGATCTAGTAAAAAAAGGAAAAAAATGCCATTTGGTGGTCAAAAATGATCATTAAACATATGCACATCAAATTATCAGATATTTTATAGAGATTTTAACAATAAGTATAAATTTTGTTTACATTCCTTTGGGTTCCGTACCAATATTTATCAGTATTCCGTACCAGTTAAAGCAGTACGCTTTAAAAAAAGTTCAGAATTTCCAAAATAAGTCAAAATAAGAAAACATTTTTTTTTTCAAAAAAAACGTTCTCTTAAAACTGAGTTACCGTTTTTGGCACTTTTTGCCCTGTATCTTCGAAACGACTAGACCTGCCTCCGTCAAAACTAATCAGCACGTCTCCTTATCAATAAGAATCGAATGTTTTTGAAATATTCAAATTGCTTCATCCTTGTTTCCGGAATCGTCGACGAAAATTTGTATCCGCACACACATACATACACGCACACACACACACGCATACATCCATTTTTTCTAAGGTATGCCAAAATGTTCAGAAGGTTTTGAAATGTAAAGATATATAAAAATTTTCATTTTCGATTTTTTGCGATTACTATAACTTGCCCTACGGGAAGTTAAATATTTCAAAATATTCAAAATAAAAAAACTTTTTTTTCAAAGAAGTCAATTGTTTTCAAAAATTTTAAATTTTCCAAAAATCAAATTTTTTCAAAGATTAAAAAAAAAATTAATCTTGGTAAGGAAAGTTCCAGCAATTTGCCTTAAGGCACGATGCCATACACTACTAGTTTTTGATAATACCATGGTAGAACACATAGATAAACAAGTATAAACTAATAAAATGGACACACATTCAAAATTGAAAAATCCCGCTTTTCAAAAATAATATAAATTTTATATTTGCGCCATCTATCAGCGACCAGTGCGAACTCTGTGCAGCCTTTGACATTGTCATCGAACAAAATGTCACATCTGACAGTTCTGAAAGACACTGCAAATTTGTGCAAATGCTTCAAGAAATAATGCTATCATGAAACACTGTGTTGTGATATCTTATAATATTTATATAATCCTTGTTTATCCTTTGATATAATAGTTTCAATCAAAAAATGCATATAAAACAATCTGATAAAAATGCTCTAGTTTTGTGATAAGAGAGCTAAAGAAATCGATCTAGTTTTTTTTTGTAAATAGAACAAAATTTTATCTAAAGCATGATATTTACATTATATTACATGGCTGCGACATGGTTACAAGCATGGAGATTGGGTTCTTTAAGAACTCGTTTAAGCAAATATTTGGCTGATCGTTATAGTGTTGTATTGTATAAAATGTCAGAGAATGTTTTGGGTGAACAAGGTATTTATGAAGTTCTTTTCAATAATAAATATATAAAACGACGATTATATTTTTAATGCACATATGAATATTACATGTGTAAGAGCTTACAGTTTATTGTTATTATTATTATTTTTTGACATAAGAATAAAGTTGCCAATTTTACAAACGATTTTCATAGTTTCAAAATATAGTACATTATCTTTCAATTTAATTTCTGTTTTGAATATGGTGTAAATATGATTGCATAACCTTTGTTTTATGTCATTTATACGCATGTATGCAAACATGTTATATAATTTTATTTTCCTAAATCAAAACTCGTGTATGGCATCGTGCCTTAAGGCAAATTGCTGGAACTTCCCGTATTAAAGATTAATTCTTTTTTAAAGAAGATGCAAACAATGTTACGGAACCCATAAGAATGTGAACAAAATTTATACTCAGTATTAATATCTCTGTAGATTGATAATTTGATGTGCATATGTCTAATGATAATTTTTGACCGTTCAATAGCATTTTTTTAACCTTTTTCACTCGATCTCCGAAACCGCTAGACTTGCCTTCCCAAAAATTTAATCAGTTCTTCATTTTATCAATACAAATAAAATCTTTTCTAAATTATTCGAAACAGACGCTCCGTTTCCTCAAAAACTGGAGTACCATTTTTGGCAATTTGGAATCATTCAAATCAGTTGAACTGTGTTCTCGAAATCGTCGACGAAAATTTGTATCCGAACACGTACACACATACACACACATATCATATATACACACATACACACTCTTGCATCTATTTTTTCTAAGGTATTATACCGCATGGAAATTAAAAATATTTATTTTTTATTAAATGTGTATATGTGTGTATGTGTGCGTGTATGTATGTGTGTTCGGATACAAATTTTCGTCGACGATTTCGGGAACACGGATGAAGCGATTTGAATAATTCAAGAATCATTCGATTCGTATTGATAAAGAGACGTGCTGATTAGTTTTTAGCGAAGGCAGGTCTAGCCGTTCCGAAGATATGGGGCAAACAGTGCCAAAAACGGTAATTCAGTTTTTAAAAGAATGGAGCATCCGAGTTGAATAATTCAAAAACATTTTACTTGTACATTTAACAATATGAAGAACTGATCAAACTTTAATGAAGGCAGGTCTAGCGGTTTCGGAGATCTAGTAAAAAGAGTAAAAAAAAATGCCATCTGGCGGTCAAAAATGATCATTAGACATATGCATATCAAATTATGAGATATTTTATAGACATTTTAACAATAAGTAAAATTATAACTGGCGTAATGATCGCAAGATCCACAGCCATGTAAAATAAATAAAATAAATTTTGTGTACATTCCTGTGGGTTCCGTACCAATGCTTATCCGTTAGACGGCGGCGCAGCGCTTACGCGCTTCGATATTTCGTCTCTATGCTGTTAAAGCAGTACGATTGCTTTGAAAAAAAGTTCAGAATTTCCAAAATATTTCAAAATACACTTTTCTTCAAAAAGTCTTTTTTTTCAAAAAAAGTAAATTTCTGACAAAAATTTATAGTTTCTCAAAAATCCAATTTTTCAGAGTAATTTTTTTTCAAAAATGTTAATCTTTTAAAAAAAAATTTTTTGGTACGGCAAGTTTCAGCAATTTGCCTTAAGGCACGATGCCATGCGCCCCACTAGTTTGTTTACTTTTACATTTCGGACATATAAGAAAACTGATCAATTGATTTAACATATACATACAAACATATACAACTAGTTGTAAATGGCATTTTGTCTTAAGGCAAGTTACATGAACTTCTTGATATTAGAGAATAATCGTTTTAATCAATATATTAATTTATAAGTGATTTATAAGTATGCCGAGTTGATATATGGATCTTTTTAATTATTCCCCAAAATATTTTTGCCTAACATAAGGCGAAGAAAGATTGCCCCTATACGAACAACTACGTAGCAAATTCAGTAAATATCAATTAAAACTATATACTTTTTACACCCTAAAATTACATTTTTATCCCCAGATTTAGGACATCATAATATGAAAAACAATTAAACATTATCCTATTTTAAACTAATAAAATAAATTAGTAAAGGCTTTACTATTTTGCTTTATTAGTATAGAATTGAATAATCTGCAATTGTTCTCACATTATGATGCCCTATACCAACTCGGAATACTCATAAATCACTACAAAAAAAATTTGACGATTTTTATGAAACTTTTTTGGCGATAGATATCATGGTCAGAGTCTTATAGAACATACTAAAATATCACGGCCCTACGACAAGTCGTTTAATTCTACATATTCAAATCCATCGAAGTTTGAAAAAAATGATTAATGTTTTCTTGACTTCTTTACACTTACACTTTTTTGCTAATTACACTTTTTGGTCAATTTCAAAGCAAGGGCTGGGCCAATCGTCGTCCAAAACTAATTTTCGCTGTACCTCATCGAGATACATCGAATGGCTTTTATATTTTTGAAATCGGTTCAGCCGTTTCTGAGAAAACGTCGACGAAAAGTCAAAAATCGGCTCACATACACACAAAGCCATACATATACATACTCTTACTTTTTTCAAATTTGGTATCATGCAATTCAGAATGCCTTGAAACGCCGAGAAAACATAAAATTAGCAAATCGGTTTTTGTCGAGAAAACATAAACTTTTCTTTTAGGAAGTTAATGATTCTTTTATAATTAGTTATTAGAGTTATAATGTGTATAGTTGCATATGTATTGAATAACTATTAAGTATATTAACTTTGATGACACATCGATTACGCCCGTCGTCGTATAATATTTAAAGAAACGTGGGCAAGTACTAACTAATCCCAGATTTGATCCCAATTTCGGACAGTTTGATAACACGCAGAATGATATCTAGTTTCCAGTCGAGATTATATATCCCAAATATAATTTCAAGAAAAAATCGCCTTTGCAGCATTTCCGCAATATATTACGCCAATACTATCAGAAATACATATATCTAATATATATTAGATATATATATATATATATATATATATATATATATATATATATACACCTAAGTCTGTTTTTACACGGAGATTGGTTCCAGAAAAAACCGTGTACAAAAAAAAACGTGTAAAAAAGACATTGATCTTATACAAAAATGGGTGATTTGTTCCTAATCTCCAAAACCTATTAAAATTAGTGAAAAACAAGAATTTTTAGGGTATTCCCCTAAATTAGTGCTATTCACATTTGCTTTGACCAGTAAAAATTGTTTGTACGCGCTAAAGGGGAATTCACTTAAATCTTTAAGCTAGTGTTCGCAAACTATCGATACTATCGATACTATCGATGGTTTCAGACTTTTTTCTTTCATAAATACTTTTTTGTGATATGAACATACTTCGCAAAAATTAAATTTGACAAAAAAAATTTAAGTACATAAATTTCAAATCGTGCTAAATGGAATAAAATCGCGTAAAAAATTAAAAATCTTCAATTTTCAAACCGTGTTATATCAAAACCGTGCACAAAAAGACCGTGTAAAAACAGACTTAGGTGTATATATATATAGCCTACTCCTAAAAGAAGTGTGGTTGACCACTGGGTTGTCCTTTGAAGAAAAATTTTATGTTAGGATGTACGTAATCACAGCTCAATGAACGCGTAGTTCTGATTGTTATTAAAACTACTTGTTGTTAAGGCAAATTTCTGGAACTTCCCGAAAACTGAAAACTAAATTTTTCAAAAAAGCTTTAATTTTTTTTGAAAACTTTAAAGAATTTTGATTCTTGACATTTTTGAAATTTTTGAAAAATTGTTTTTTTTTTATTTTTGGATTTTGATTTTATTCATATTGTGAAATTTATTAAAAATTTTGAACTTTTTTTTCAAAACAATAGCGCTACGTAGCTGTTTTATTTCTTTGTTTAATCAAAACGCGTTAGCGCCGCGTCGCAGTTTAATGGATAACCATTGGTATGGAACTCTTAGAAATGTAATCGAAATTTATACTTATTACTGACAACTGTACAAAATATCTGATAATTCGCATTTTTGACCGCCAAATGGCATATTTTTTTTACTTTTTTGTTGAATCTCCGAAACCGATGAACCTGCCTACCTAAAAAAATTAATCAGTTTTTCATTTTGTCAATGCAAATAAAATATTTTTTGAATCATTCAAATCGGACCCTACATTTTCTCAATAACTGAATTAACATTTTTTGCACTTTTGTCCCGTATCTTCTGCACCTGCCTTTGCGAAAAATTAAGCAGCACGTCTCTCCATCAATACGAATCGAATGTTTTTTATTTATTCAAATCGGTTGATCCGTGTTCCCGAAATAGTCGAACCAAAAAATTGTATATGCACACACATTTTGTCTATGGTATGCCAAAATGTTCAGAAACCTCTGAAATATAAAGATATATAAAATTTTTATTTTCGATTTTTTTGCGATTACTGTAACATACCCCACGGGATGTTAAATATGTAAAAGGTTATGATCTGATATTATGTTAACGATGTTAAAAAAGTTCATAAATTTAAGAAAGCTTTCTACAAAAACTCTGTTAAGTAAAGTGCAATTTTCTCTGTTATTATTCTTAAATCGCTTAATATAAATTTTCATATTTCAACTATCAACTTATGCATCGTTCTCCTTTAACTAATAATATTATAAATGCATAATATTAAAAACATTCTCCTATTTCAACTACCAACAACAAAAGTTATAAATATTATAAATATTAATTTAATTTGCAATAATTTTATATCTTATTATATAACTTTTTTCTATTTTTTCAGATGTCACAGGTCCGTGCCTTGTAAATTCAGTCAACATATCGAAGGCCCGTGTTTGCGAAGTCTTGCAACTGGAAGGGCCTTTGAGACTTTGCACATTGTTTCCTTCGCGAAAATTATTTATATCGGATTGGATTACTGCTAGAGATTATGAATCAGTTGAGATAGGTATGAGAATGGTAATTGTTTAGTTTATTATTAAATAGTGCAATTTGCAACATTGACTAACAAAACTAATTTGTAAGTTACAAGTTAAAGGGCTCCTGTAACAGCCTAAATAAACTTGTTTCTCGTCTTTTTTTGAGTAAAAGGAAAGGTAATAAAATTAGTGGTGTATGGCATCGTGCCTTAAGGCAAACAGCGGGTACTACCCGTTTTGTAATTAATTATTTGAGATTATTAAATGTTTTCAAATATATTATTACAAATACTGTATCTATAACTTTCATTATTCGTATTTCATAGACAAAATAGAAGAGATTATGTATTGGATGACGGCGTTTATGTCGCTTTATATGAGCGGAGTTAGAATAAAGGATTTTATCTCATATTTCTAACAATAAGAATTATATTAACTAAACTTCAAAGTTTAAGCTATTTATCTCAAATATGAGTGAGTTTTGGAATGTTAGCTAAAATTAAAATTAAAACCCGATTACTTCCCGAAATTCAAAATCATTTTTGAAAATTAAAAAAAAACTAGTTGTGTATGGCATCGTGCCTTAAGGCAAATTGCTGGAACTTCGCGTACCGTAACGAAATATTCGAGAATTATTAAATGTTTTCATATAAATTATTATAAATATTGTAACATTGTCTAATATTTATAGAGTTATATAAACTTAATTACAAAGTTAAAATTGTTTATTTAAAGTATATAAGTAAGCTTTAGAACTTCAGCTAGAATTAAAATTAAAATCTAAATTATTTTGGATACATGTACAAAAATTTTTTTTTTTTAAAAAAAACTTGAAAAAATTTTGAAATATTTTTTTTCCAAAAGCATTTATTTTGTCAAAACAAGCAGAAAGTTTTTTGAATCATTCAAATCGGATGCTTAGTTCTCTCAAAAAGTGGCCGTTCAAGTATTACGTAAGCACTATAGGGGGGCGGGGGGGTTATTGATTTGCTTATTTTGGGTCTAAATGATGATTACGTCATAGGTAGTATTTTAAAAACAATACATTAATTGCAAAATGTTTACGTAAGCATTGGGGTGGGGAGTAAGAGCTTTGCTTACTTTTGCTGACAAGAGGGGTAGGAGGGGGGGGGTAAATAATTGTAATAAATCTGCGTAATACTTGAACGACCCCAAACTGGCATTTTTTATCATTGCTTTCCCAAAATTAATCGTTTCGCCAATACAAGCAAAAGGTTTTTTGAGCCATTCAAATCTGATATTTCATTCTCTCTAAAACTCCAATTTTTGAGAGATCGCTCAATATTTCCGAAACGGCTGGACCGATGATTAGTTTTGCCTAAAACTAATCACCACTTTTCAGTATCATTACAAATTAAATGTTTTTTGAATCATTCATATCTGATGCTCCTACTCTCAAAAAGTCGATTTCTATTTTCTGCACTCTTTGCTTCGCATATCCAAAACGGCTGGATTTCAATTAACGAGGAAAATATTTAGTGTGCTTGCAAGTAACAAAAAAAATATATTTTGCTTTAAGGCAAGTTGCATGAGCTTTCTGACATGTGTAAATAATCGACTTACTTAATAAGAAATCAATATAAGTTAATGTATGAGCGATTTAAAATTTCTGTGGAGCGTTATAATGAAAGAAACTAGTGCAGATTATTAAAGTTTCTGAAAAAAAAAGATTACACGTTTTTGTTTATTTTTTGTTTATGTTTATGATTGAAAAACAAATAAGTGCCTAATACATAGATAGAGTGGTTTCTAAAAGCGCAGTCGAATAATTCAAATTTTAAATATTTTTTGTAATTGAACCGCTTTTCGTAGGATTATAATATTTTAGTATGTTCAATAAAACCATGTCTAGTCGTACTCTAATGCTATATAAATATTCTATAAATTTATTGAAAAAAATGTAACCATCAATTACGAAGAGACGGCCTGACCCATCTCTGTAAAAATCTAATCAGCACGATTTCCAAATGATTGCTACAGAATATTTTTTAACTTCCGTAAAGGTAAGTTATAGTAATTGAAAAAAATGAAAATGAAATTTTACACTTATCTTTACGTTTCAAAGTAGGTTTCTAAACATTCGTCACACCTTAGAAAAATTAGATTAACTGATTTAGATGATTCGCAAAACATTCGATTCCAATTGATGGGTAGTCGTGTTGATTAGTTTTGGCAAAGGCAGGTCCAACCGTTTCGAAGATAATGGGAAAAAGTGCAATACAATTTTTGAGAGAATGGAGCGATCGATTGAATGATTAAAACATAATTTTAATTGTTTTGATGAAATGAAGAACTGATTGATTTTTTGACACGGCAGGTCAAACGGTTTCGTAGTTCCAAAAAAAGTAAAAAAAGCGTTTTGGCGGTCAAAAATTATCTCTAGATATGTAAATGCTCATCACATTATCATGTATTTTGGAGAGATTTTAACAAAAAATGACATGCATTTTTTTATTTTTATTGGTTCTGCACTAAGATTTATAGTGTTTATACTTTACTTAAATAGTTCAAACAAATGATTTCGACATTTTCACATCAGTACGGTTCAACTGACTTGAATGGGTTACAAAATTTTCAAGCAAGTAGAATTTTGTCATTTATTTAAAAAGTTTTCAAGTACGGGAGGTCTAGCAATTTGCATTAAGGCACGATGCCATGTACCACTAGTTTTTTTTATTTCTATGCCAAATGAGGACACGAATTTGTTTTAGAAATACATACAAAATTTAATATTCATTTTTATCAAAATAATATTACTATAGTAATTACCTAGAGCTTATAATAACAATAGTGTAAATATATTAAATCGCAACGCTCAATTTGCTTGCAAACTTGTTCATGTGCTTTTGTAAATTATCATTATTAATTTAAACTGATCTAATTTCATAAAATGCTCAAAATTCATATCAATATAACATACTAATTATAGCGTTATTATGTATGTTCTTTGTAGAAGATACTTCACTCTCAGAAAGCACTTTTAATCGGTTTGAGGATTTAAAACTATTAATAGAGGCTCAGCTAAAGGAATATAATGGACAACAATTTGAAAAACTCGATGTAAGAATAAATGAAATATATTCCTATATTATTTTTACTATCTAAGAAGCTAGGTGGCAATAATTTTCCATTTCATAAATAATACAAATTTCAAGTCAAATACTATACATACTTGAATTTTGCTACATTATATTGATGATATTTGCTTCCTTGTCAGCTATTAAATCACATACATCTGTATATTTTATTTGATTTATATTCATGCAATTATTAACTTGTAATTTTTTCTCCTCAAATGTATTTTAACGAATGCTTTTTATTAAAACCAGTTGCAGCATTATGGATCACTAATTGCATGGCATTTTGATAAAACCTTCTGCATGGTTCTGTCTTCCACATTGCAACAGTTGACAGAACTTGCTCAGAAATTTTTAAAAGGAGACATTTACATAAATGGAGGCATGGAATTACTGAGAATAGAAAGTGAGTTTCATGTACAAGATTTATGGTATTGAAAACTTAGGTATCACACATTGTTTAACATTTGCAATTTCTCGCTTTATTTTTGCTACATTTTTTTTAGAGCTAACATTGAACTAGTCAGAGTCTTTAACCTAGTGAAATCTGAATTAGACTAATCCTAATTTAACTGAGTTAGACTAGTCTGTACATATTTGTTTTCCCTTCTATCATATCATTATTAACTTCCCGAAGGAGAAGTTTGTTTTCGCAAAAAATCCGATTTGCTAATTTTATGTTTTCTCGACGTATCAAGTCATTCGAAATCGAATAAGACCAAATTTGGAAAAGTGTGTGTGTTTTGTATGTTTTCAAAAATTTAAAAGCCATTCAATATAGCCGGCTAAGCCGTTTCTTCGTAATTAAATGTTAAAAAAAAAGATGAATTTTATGATACTTTATATATTATTACATATTATGGTCCTAAAGAACATACTTAAATATTAGGGGCCTACGATAAGTCATTTAATTTTTAAAATTCATCAAAGTTTGAAATCAGTAGCGTTCTTTGACGTTTGTTGTTAAAGTTAGACTCTTCATCGTTTTCTCAAAAACGGCTTTACTGATTTTAAAAATTTACAAGCCGTTCGATTAAACTTGGTAAGCTCTCGCGTTGGTTGTTGTTGGTACGTTCGGATGAGCCGTTTCTTCAAAATTAGCAGAAAAGTGCAAAATTTTTTTGCAGCGTTTTAGCCAAAACATCTGATCCGATTTTGAAAATTCAAATACTTTTCTACAGATGTTATTTGAGAACAGTGCTGATTACTATTTTTGGACTAAGATCGGTCAGGTCATTTTCTCGCAATTGTTTGTTAAAAAACATTCGATGATTTTAATGGTACTTGATGGTATGGCGATAAAGAACCTGGTCTTAGTTAAAAATAATTGACAAATTATAGTCCTGCAAAAAGTGGTTCAATTATATAAATTTATCTATATTTTAATTATTCGGCAGTGCTTTTAGAAACTATTCCGAGTTGTATTAGATACTAATAGTTCGATTTTCAATAATCTGGAAAATTGTACTGAATTGAATAATTGGCAATAATTTTTCACAGTATGAAATCATATAGCCACTTGGCATACTTATAAATTACTCATAAAGTAATATACATATTCATTTATTAATAATTAAGTAAAAAATTTATACATGTCGGAAAGTTCAAGCAACGTGCCTTAAGGCAAAATGCCTTGAAGAATTATAAACTTCGCTAAGTTCAAAATTGTAGGCTAAGACGTCGACCAAAAAATTTACACTTTTCGGCTAATTACAAAGAAACGGCTCTGCCAATCGTCGCACAAGAGTTACAAACTTTAGTCCTTATCGAGTTACATAGAATGGATTTTAAATTTGTGACGTCGGCTCAGCCATTTAGGAAAACGTCGACGAAAGGTCAAAAATCGGCGCTCTTTTTTACAAATTTGGCCTTATTCGATTCAGAACGACTTGAAACGTCGCGAAAACGTAAAACTGAATCGATTTTTTATTTGCGAAAACAAACTTATCCTTCTGGAAGTTTAAGATCTACAACATTTGGAATTCATATTGGCACCCGCCGAACGAACAAAATCGGTGTGCGCATGCGTATGACGGTTGTGTATTGTCATTTCTAATACACCAAACAAATCTTATATATCTATCATCATCTATCATATTATTTTACAGCTGTTGATGTTGATGGAAAACCAAAAAGCATTCAAAGCAATGACCGAACAAGACAATGCATCTTGCAAAATGTATTAAACACTGATAATCTACTACTACATGCCTCTATGTTTAAGGAGCTTAGTGACAATACTTATGATATAGAGAGTAATGTTAAGCTCAAAGATGAAGTAGAATGTGTAGAATTGCAAAATGATTTGTCTAGTACGAGCCAACAAATGAAACAGGTGGAAGAACATGAAAAAGTTGTCCCAGAACCCGCACCTGTTCAAGAGACCAAAACGAGTATACTTAAACATGAAGAAGTACAGGATGTTAAAAAGCCTTTAATTGCCAAACCTTCAGACAGATTTAAAGTTAGTAAAACGACTCTAAATGAACCACTTACATCTAGTCCAAAAATCCTTAAAAATGGAACTCATAGATCTACAATACTCCCAGAACCAGTTTTAACCATAAGAGATTTAGAACAAAGGCCTATACAGACTGATGAAGAAATTAGATCTCAAAGTATTTCGAAAATGACAGGGTCACCAAAATCGGTCACTTTCAAGAGCCAAGTGGAAATATCTGATGAAACACTTGAATTAAGGAAATATGCAGGAAAGATTAAACCACCAAATATATTGGTGTTTTCTGAAAGTTTGGTAGCTGTTGATAATGTCAAGAGTGCTCTGAAGAGTATATTGCAGAAAAATAAGTATTACATTGTTTTATTATTATTATTATATGGTAAAGAGGATAACCTTTTTACCTTATTATATTGTTTTCTGGAATTTAACATTTATTTCTTTGTTATCAGATATACAATATATACTCTAACTAAACCACAAGTCATGACGGACACTTGGATGGACAATGCTTTGCTAGTCATAGTTTGCGGAACCGTTTCTTCAGATGTTGCTCCTAGATTATTGAATTATTTACTAAAAGGTGGAAAACTGCTGTGTTTGTGTTCAGATTTGATACATACAGTGCTTCCCACGTACAAAACTGCAGAGGTACATAACAGATCAGTTATTAACTATTAAAATTTTATATTTTAAAATTTAAAGTACACTTTTAGGTACGCGAGCACGAGCTTGTCCGTTTCTCTTATGGCAGATGGCAAAATGTTCGAATGATGCATCATATATTTTGTTATCAGGCTTCACCAGCACGAAAGCATTTCATGCATGATTCCATTGAAGAAAATAATCAATCTCAAGGGTAATTTTAATTGCCATTAAATGCTTGTATCTATAAATGAACACGTTCTTATTTAATAGAAGTTCTTCTGTTCAACCACGAGCTCCGTCCTCAATAGAAGTTCGTGATTCTTATGGACGACCCCATAAGTTATCGGTTGAGGTTTTGGGTGCAGAAGAAACATGGCACACGCCTAGTTTATTGTTGGCCACAGCACTGCCCGATCAGAATAATAAATTGAGTGCATCTTCCATTGGAAGAGCTGTTTTTAGTCAGGTATGATTACCACATTATAACTATAACAAAATATAAATATATTTATATATATATATATATATATATATGTATATGTAAAATCTTTAATAATTTTGATGTTGAAATGTGAGAGATTCAATCTTCAGGGCAATACATCAATTAAAAACATGTAGGAACTTTTACCATTTTTATTGTTTCCATACATTTAGACACATTGCTTTGTATCATCTTCAGTGGAATGTAATTGGAATGTTCCTAATTATTTCCTAATAATAATTGTTCACAAATGCATTACTAAAACAGTTCTTGTCGACAAGAACGATTCAGATTTTCTAAAACTTATGGGCTTATTTTTAACTTCAAAAAAACTTATTTTTAATATCCGGTTGTCAATCTCCAACTTTAGTTAGTCCTAATGGTGCATAGCATCGTGCTATAAGGCAAATTGCTGGAATTTCCTGTACCGAAAATTAAAATTAACTAATGGTGTATGGCATCATGTCTTAAGGCAAATTGCTGTAACTTTCTGTACCGTAACGAAATGTTCGAGGTATATTAAATGTTTTCAAATAGGTTATTATTAATACTATAACATTGTCTACTATTTATAAAAATTATATAAACTGAATTGCAAACTTGAAATTATTTGTTTAAAGTATATTAAAACTTTTGTCAGAATTAAAAATAAAATGTAAACCATTTTCGATACACAAGAAAATTTTTTTGCACATTTAGCTTTGTATCTTCGAAACGGCTAGACCTGCCTTTGCCTAAAATTAATGACACACAAAACACACGCATCCATTTTTTCTGATGTGTGACAAAATGCTCAGAAACCGCTAAAACGGCATGCAAAATATTTCATTTTCGATTTTTGGCTCATTATTATAAATTGCCCTACAGGAAGTTATAACGTGCAAAAAATTCAAACTATAATAAAAAAAAAAAATCAAATAAGTCAAAATTTTTCAAAGATCTCATTTTTTCAGTTCTTAATCTTAATCTAACAATTTGCTTTAAGGCACGATTTTTAGCAAATCCATAAGGATGTATGCTGTTTAACATTTTTTACATTTATTACTTTCTTACATATTAGGTACATTTGGAAGTAGATCCCACACAGTATGAATCAGAAGAAGCAAAGTATTCAGTTTTGAAGGAAAGCAATGAAGCTCGTTTGGAAATTTTAAGAGATATTTTAGGCAGACACCTAAACCTTCAATGTTCTGAGAATAAGGCTGATTCTATCAAGTCTCCGGTTGAAAGTTACACGCATGCCTTCTTTTTGGGCAGACATGAGGTGAGTCATTCATTCAATGAGATATTTAATCTTAATGTGTGCCTTTAATTAATTTATAATGAAGGTATCATTGGATATGTTAAATATTCATCTTTATAATTAACGTTAAAAATAATAAATAATGCAAATAATTTCAATTACAGTTAAAATTATCTCTGCTTAAATTTCTGGAATCAATGATGGATTCCAACCAATCACTCAAAACATCCAAATTGACGCTGAGATTTTGTGGATTAGGTGAGCAAGAAACAAATCAAATAAAATCACTAATTAACTATTCATAAAACTTAAACCATTTCAGGTGAAACCCCACCTCCAGCCACGCAATATATGTTGCCGATCAGAGTACATTCCTGCCCAGATAATTTTAGTACAATTGAATACTTTGGTGTAACTAACTTATATTTATATTTTTATTAATGTTTAATTAGAGTAATTATTAATTCTATTTTTGGCAGAATTTGAAGTCTGAACATGTGGGGCGGTTGGTTATATATTCATCAGTCATGACTAGTTCTCAGGACGTTTTATCTGGTGTAAAACTTCAACATGGTATTGTAGTTATACCAAGATTCCAAACTAAGGTATTGAATTTATATTAACAAAAAATTGTTTTGTGAAAAATGTTTTTATATAATTAAGTTGTAAATATAAACACATGATTTTCTTTCAATGTCAGCCTTCCAATTTTTTTGAGGTATGTAAACTTTGAATTGTGTGTATTTGAGATTATTTTTAATAATCTAATATTATTAGTTTAAAAACCTTTCTTTAAATTCACACTTTCGCTTGAATGGCTATAATTGATAATTGATTCTAGTTCTGTTTAGTTTGTAAAACATTTTTTTTTTTTATATTCACATAGGGTTCGGGCCGCTCCGCCAATCAATGGTTATCTCCCGATGGTTGTGCTATGTTTTCAGTTCAACTACATGTGCCATCTGATTCACCACTAGGGCAACGAGCACCAGTAGTTCAGCATTTGGTGGCTACTGCCGTAGTATCAGCCGTTTTATCACAGCCTGGATATGAGGTAAAGGAAATTGATGAAATTGTTTTCATCCTATAAATTGAACTTCTCATTCTATCAATTGTTCATATCATTTATAGGACCTCGATATTGGCCTGAAATGGCCAAATGACATATATGCTCATGGTGCAGTAAAAATTGGTGGCCTTGTTGTAACCAGCACTTTAGATTCAGACATCACTGTTTGTAATGTGGGTTGTGGAGTAAATTTGGATAATAGTGATCCAACTACTTGTATAAATGATGTTATTAAAAAGGTTTGTAATAAACAAATTACATAATGTTTTAAAGAAATGTTTTACAGTGGTACTCCGATATGCGGGTTTAATTCGTTCCGTAACCACGCTCGTATGTCGAATCGGCCGTATCTCTAAGCAATTTTTCTTTTATAAATATATTGAAATGCCATTAATTCGTTTCGGCATTGCATCCACAAATTTTTAGAGCTCAGGAGTTATTCAGGAATTACTCCTTAGCAAGAGCTATACCTTTTATCAACTCCTTCTGTTTAAATGTCTATGATGTTCTATGCTCGTACATTCTTGGCATCTTCATATTTTTCAACAATTTCATGCTTTAATTCAAAAGACATTGTAGTATATAATATTTTGTAAATGTACAAAAAGCAAAAAACGCAAATCAATATATCTAATTTACAATCACTATTAATGTATAGTCAAAATTTCAAACTTTAAAATAATTCTCAATATATTCTCATGTGTAAATCGTTATTACATAATTAATATTAATGTATAATTGAAACTATAATTTCAAGTATACTTATTATAAAATAATTTACTATTATGAAACATCCAAAATATTTCTATTATAGGAAAATCTTTATTACAACTGACGGAATTTTTCATATTTTTATGAAATATATTTCGCCATTAACATTTTTCTGGATAACTCTTTTTTGCTTGTTTAACTAATTTTGCTCGTATATCGAAGCAACGAATCGCATACTTAGATATACTTAGATATTATTCTATTTATTCCAAAGAAAATACAAACTAGTGGAAAATTGCTGGAACTTTCGCAATTGCTGGAAATAAATTTTTTAAAGCTTTAATTTTTTTTCTATTTTTTGAAATTATTTGAAAAAATCGTCTAAAAATCGAAATTGAAATTTTTTGCATTTTTCTGTGTTTTGAAGGTTTCTGAACATTTTGGCATACCTGAGAAAAAATGGAGGTGTGTGTGTGAACATTCAATTCCTATTGATAGGGAGATGTGCTGATTAGTTTTGGCAAAGGCAGGTCCAGCCGTTACGGAGATACGGAGCAAAGCGTGCGGAAAATAGAAATCGAGTTTTTGAGAGAACGGAGCATTCAATTTGAATGATCCAAAAAACATTTAATATATAATGACGAGGAGAAATGGTGATTAGTTTTTGGCAAAGGCAGGTCCAGTCGTTTCGGAGATACCGAGGACAATATGCAAAAAATGAGTTTTTGAGAGATCAGCATTCGATTTGAACTTTCTGCTTGTGTTAACGAAATGTTTGCTTTTAGTTTTTTTTATTTATATTATTCAGTTTGTATAATTTTCATAAATATTAAACAATGTTTTTCATTTTAAATTTGATTGGTTAAGCTTTGTTTATTTACTTTTTTATAAACATATATAAGTTACAGTATTTATAATAATTATTATAATTATTATTTTAATCGATTAATCGATTTGATTTAATTTTCCTTGAATATTTCATTACGGTACGGGAAGTTCCAGCAATTTGCCTTAAGGCACGATGCCATACACCACTAGTTTCTTTGCAATTACTACAATAACTTACCCTACAGGAAATTAATTATGGTTTAAATCAACATAGTGTTATTAATAAATTATAGTAAATATGTATTAATTATCTATTTATATTTTAGCATAATGCTGATAATGGAACTGATCTTCAAACTCTTAGTTATGAGAAGTTTTTGGCCTTAGTTTTCTCCGAGGTAGAAAATATTTTTAAAATTGTACAAGCTGGAGATATTGACTATCTTTATGACCTGTATTATAAGTATTGGTTGCACAAGTGAGTAAATGAAACTATTGTTATTGTTAATTAAATCCTAAACATTATATAATATTTTAACTTTTAGCAATGCCAAGATTGTTGTAATGGACGAAACATTAGGACCTACAAACGTAGTAGTGCATGGTATCGATGATTTCGGTTTCCTGCTGGTTCAGTATCCTAACAGAAAATTGATATCTGTTCATCCTGATGGGAACTCATTTGATATGCTTAGAGGTTTAATTGTTCCAAAAATATTTTAATTCCTATGCCAGAATATGATGGTGCATAATAATTTAAATAAGGTTTCTGGTACTTTTTTCACATGATAATACTGACCAGAGTAGCGCATTATAATTGTGTTTAGAGATTAGATTATTTACATGGAGCACCTCTTAATCACATTCAACTTTGTGTATATGTTAATTTATACAAATTTATATTGTCTGATGCAGTTCTATCATGTGAGAATGTAAATCATTTTTATTTAAAAAGTTATTTAAAATATTTATTATGGTACTCCTCATAATTTACCATTATGATACAGACTCTTATTTAAAATATAAAGTCAATAAGCTGTGTGTGATATTTGACAAAGTAAAATCTTTGATAAATATTAATAATAATTATATTGTGTAATTTAAATTACATTCACTGAAAAATATCTATTAATTTTGAAGATATGGTCACACCAGCTAGTCTTTGATACAATTTATTTACCAAATTTTAATATAGATTTATAAATACATAGAAAATAATTCAAGCTACTTAATGATAATCTTTCGAATATAAATCATTACGATTTAAAACATTCCATATAAATGTAGTTTTTTAGCTATTGTTTTTCTGTGATAAATTCCCAAAAAGAGGACATGACATTATAGTTTGAACAAGCTGATTTTATTTATAAAATATAATTTATTGTATATGGATGTGTGATTGTGTTAGGTATTGCATGGGTGAATTTTGTTTTTAAATATGTATATTTTCAAAACAGTTTGTGGTAAAATATTTAATTTAGGAAATATTGTTATTTCATGAATACGCCAACTGAAGTAAATCAAATATAAAGGCACTTTGTTTAGATATTTAAATATTTAAAACGTTTGTTAAATATATACATTTGTTATCTAAATGGCCTGCAATATTACTGATATTGCCTGTTCAAATCTCTAAATTCTAGTAATATATGTCACCATTACATGTGCATTTATTCAATGATTGTTTTATGAAGCTCTTTACAGCTTCGCTTATAGTTGAAATATTTTAGCCTAATATTATTAATGATATTATCACATTAGAAATACTGTTGAAAATATTTGTCTGTATAAAAATGTAATGTTGAAGTTTTAAATTTGTCAATATACCAGCTCTGCAGATGAATAATATATGAATGTTCAAATAATACAAAAATAGTTATTAATTCTTGACATTATTGAATTCTAAAATTGTTGGAACATTAACCCTCTTTATGTACGAATACTATAATTTGCATAACACAGTAGTTTTTGGGGCGGTAACTACTGTGTTATATGGAGGTCTCCTGATTTCAAAAACTTGTTTAAAGTGCAAATGAATTTCGAATGGCTTGCCTATAAATATTTGACTAAAGCCTCGGTCTTGAGAGTTTTTTTTTAATGAAATAGTTAACAGGCACTTTTTTAACTAATATTTGCCATAATGTTTGTTTGAAATTATTATTATGATAATCAACAACATATAGTTTTGTAATTCCTGAAATTTTTGATGAATAAATGTATATGACGATATAAAGATCATGTTAAGATGTTGGTTTGTAATGGGTTCTGAACTACTGAACCGATTTTAAATTTTATTGGCTCACCGTGCATGTATATCCAACTTAGATTATAGGCAGTATTAAAAATTTCTGTTCACATTCAAAATATTAAAATTTTAGAAACATCATTATACTGGCTTCTAAGACAGTTCTAATTTACCAGGTAGTAATAAAACTAATATGGACTTATGCATAGAATTGTGGGATTGTGCGAGCAAATCCAACATAGTGTTAATGGAACGTGCTCAATCGAAAATATTAAGTCAGATTACTGATGCTCTGTGGTTTGTTGGCAATAAGACTTTACACGATGATCTTCATATTGAATTTATAAACAGAATTATACAAATCAACAGTGTCAAAAATTTTCATAAACAAGAACATCATTCAAATTCTATACTCATTCGAGACACCAACTTCAAGAAGACTGAAGAAGAAGCTGCCCAAAGATAATATGGAGGGCCTTTAGAACTACCAAAACTTAACATGGACAGAATAGTAGAATCACTTATTGAAGTGATTCTCTAACTATCAATATAATATTTATAAGATTAATTTATATGTGTGTTTATATTTATATGTAAAAGTGTGTGTATGTGTGCGAGTAAATTACATAAGCCAAATAGCTCATAAAATTGTCCTATATTCTGATTGATATTGAAAATAAAATTAATATTAAAACTAAAAAAAAAGATTTATATTTTATTTGCTTACCAAGTTAATTCAAATGCGATAACATCATCAAACTACGTATCACAATTTAAAAGTGAAATATAACACTTATTATAACCGAAACAATTCATATTAATATAATAATATTATATTATATAATAAATAATGAAAAATTGGATAGTTAAAAAATCTATTACTTTTGTCTTATTCAAAAAGGAAAAATTATATCCAACTTAGGTTATAAAGAATAGTAAAAATCACACTTTATATTCAAAATATAAAATTTATAAAAATGTCAATTAATTAATTAATTAATAACAATATAATATTATCAGTTTATTGTCAGTTTAAAACAAAACACTATGAAATGACAGTTGTCAATGTTTACGGAAACGCGAAATTTTATATTTGTCATAAATCATAGAAAATTGAAAGTTCAAAATGTCAAATATTTTTGGAAAATTCTAAAGAAACGAATATATTTGAATGTAACTGTAATAATAAAGGTATAATAAAATAAAATTGAACAAATGTTAATACCAAATATTATATTTACAATATTAAATTATTATTAAATGTCAAATGACATTGACAATTGACACTCAGAAATTTGACACTAAAACAAATAAAATGAAAAATAAATAGTAGCTAAGATAATATAATCGAAAAATTAACGTAGAAATTAACTCTTAAGAGTACATTACATTAATCATCATAATTTGAAAAAATAAATAAAATGTGATAATAATAATTAAATTCTATTGGTCTTGTCAGGTTACAAAAGAGATGTGTTCCACAAACAAACAAAATTCGAATGGTCAAATAATTTTGAAATTCATAGAAACTGCATGTAAACAAAGATATTTTATGACAATTTAATACATAAAGTAATAAATTTATAAAATTAGTCAAATAATTTGTATTCGATATAATTTTATTATATATTTTATTGACGTCAAATTTTTTGACATTCAATAATTTAAAATGATTAAAAAAACAATGATTGAAAGTGAAGGTGCCAAACAATCGTAAATTTATGGAAAAGAACTAAAATAGTAATTACTATTATTTTACACCCAGGACAAGGACTTCGATCAAATAGCATTGTCAATACAACTAAATCCTCAAAAAACACGTACAAAACATAACAGTCCTCTAAACAATTTAGGCAAAGTAGTCAACGAATATTGCGGAGGTTTGATTTATTTCGATACTCTCAAAATGTTTTCGAGACCAACAAAAACGAAAAAATTAATACTTAAAGTGCAACTACACAATAAAATAATATGTGCAATTAATTATTAGATTATGTTACCAAAATATTGTGTGAAATATGTTACCAAATTCAATATTAGTAGTTTTTAAGTCATAAAATTATTAGTGTAATATTATAAATTTACTGTAGTAGTGCAATATTATAATGTACTATACATAGCCGATTGTCGTATAAATAAATAAATATGTTAAGAACTGATTTAAGAAAAAATGTGACTCCAAATAGTCAGTACATAGTTTCGACAACCTATTAAAAGTTATTCATGTTTATTTGTGTGTTTTGCTGTTTGTGATGTTAAAAAATATATATGTTAAAAAATATATAATTTACCACTGTGCACATACTCATACCATGGAGTAATAATGTTTTCATCTGTGATATTAGGATACAAAATTGTAAGTGTTTTTTATTATTATATTATTGTTTTTCTATGAAATTTCTTAAATATTATTTATTTAGTTTTAATTTTTATAGTTAAATTGATTGTCACTGAATGAAGGCTAAGATGCTAGCCGAAACGTATGGATTTTAAATAAATCACTAAAAACTCTCATACTATTTTTATTAATGTGACGTTCGACTTTTAAACTCTAATAATATATATATATATATATATATATATATACTAGCTGACCCGACAGACGTTGTTCTGTACTACGTCCTACAATTTTTCAATATTTTATACTAATATTTACTGCTTAGTAAAAATAATAATTACTGTTTTTTGAATTACTATTTACACCAATATATAAGTGATGTTGAATGTAGAACTGTTTCAAATAAAATTATGTTCTCAATTCCCACAGTTAACACTTTAATTATTTATTTAACAAATATTAAAAAATGGTTCAATAAAATTGTATATTAAAAATTATACACTGCGATTTATAGAACAAATTTATTTCCAATAGCTCAATT